TTCAAAATTGGAGGACCTGAAGTGCTATTCCATTTTCATAAGACACAATTTACGTCCGAACTGCATGTTTTCCTTCAATTTCTAAAAAGAATTTAGCAACTTCCAACCACATTCCTGTTGATTAGGGCTAAATTGGAGGAATCCCATGGCTGGGCTAGGTGCGCCAAGTGAAGGCGCACCCAGCCCAGGTGGTCCGTGACCTAGTTTCGTTCGGATCGCCCATTTTCTCTGACAACGTGGCTGAAGTCGTGACAGAGAATTTTGTTGGAATTAATTCTGGTTGGGGCCAAATTGGAGGAAGCCCATGGCTGAGCAAGGTGCGCCAGGTGAAGGTACACCCAGCCCAGGTACCTGGGTTCATCCGGATGGCGCCGGAATCATCCATTTTCTCTGACATCATCGTGCCAGTCGGGGACAGAAAATTTCGACATTTTGAAGCTGGTTTTTCGCATGCGTTTTGGTTCAAATTGTTGGCTTAGGTAGAGTTGTCCGAGGGTAGGGAACATGTCGTGTTGTATTCCGATCATATTGGTGGCCGGACGTGGAGATTTCAGCATTTTGAAGTTTTTTAGGCACCGAACTTTGACTGCTTGTATCTGTCGGATTACTAGGAGTTATGTGGAGTTCTTGTGATGGAATTGAAGAGGAAGACAAGGGCTTTCTACAAGCACCTATGTCTGGTGGTTTGGGAGGCCGTAGCTCGCCGAAATTGTTGCTCAAAGATGGTGTTTTATGAAAATGAAATTGTACTTCAGGTCCTCCAATTTTGAAGGGGCCGTGTTTTGTTAATTTATGTTTCAATTAGAATAAAAAAGTCCAAAAACTTACCTCAGTGACTATTTTTGAAAGTGGCTGAAAGTTGAGTGACCGTTTATGCAAGTTTCGAATTTTAGTGACCATTTTGTTATTTTGCCGTAACTTCAGTGATCATTTGTGAAATTAATCCTGTAAGAAAAAGACCACGGCCATCTGCAAGCGGAGGATTCGATCGGCTCTGTCGATCAATTGGTGGAATATTTTCGCTCCACCTACCGAGAGTATGAACGCCACAAGCTCCAGCCTTTCACTAAAGGGGTTCAGCAAATACTTGAACATATGGATGATTGTAATAATGAAGAATACGATGAGGAAAGGATTCCTTCGAGAAGAAAGAGGCCGAAGAAAGTTGAGGAAGATGAAGAGAAAACGCGACTCATAGAAAAGCATCATAATAAAATGAGGGCTGGGAGAATTAATGATGATTTTGAGAATGATATTGGCTTGTCATCATCGATGGCATCAACTGCTAGCACTAGTACTTCGGAATCTGAGAGTGTGTTTGGTAGGGATTTTTGGGGGAAGAATTGATTTTTGAATAGTGATATGATGGGAAATGTGTGGTTGAAAAAGAAGAAAAAATAATTGATGTGATGGAAAATATTATTTTATTGAA